AGTTTAGAGAGAAGCTAATGAGTTCAAGATGGTACATGTTGAGTTTGAGGTTTCTATGAGACATCCAGAGCTGATGTCAAGTGAGCAGTTGGTTATGTGGAGCTCAAAATGGAGATCTGGGCTAGAGATATAACTTTGAGATTCATCTGTGTATAGGTATACATCGAAATACTGGGTGTAAAGAAACTACAGTGTGAGAAGAGAAGAGGTACTTGGGCCAAGCCTTGAAGAATTCTAATATTTGATGGCCAGGTAAAATAAGATGAGTCTGCAAAGGAGATAGAGAAGGAGTGACCAGAGAAGTAGGAGAAAAACCAAGAGAGTGTTTTGTCATGGAAGCCAATTGAAAGAGTATTTCAAGAAGTGGGAGTGGTCAACATTGTCAAAAATTGTTGAGAGGTCAAGTAAGATGAGAACTGAAAAAATATCCATTGTATTTGCCTATGTGGAGGCCATTGGTGGCTTTAGTGAGTGTTGTTCATTTGAATGATAAAGGCAGATGCCATATTAGTGTTGGTTAAAGAAAGAAGTCGGGGGAAGAATTGTGGGCAGTGAGAAAGTGAAGACACTCAGTATATTAGTTTCCTAGGGACGCCACAACAAAGTACCACAAACTGGCTGACTTATAAGAACAGAATTTTATTACCTCACAATTCTGGAGGCTAGGAGTCCACATCAACGTGTCAGAGTGGCTGTGCTCCCTCAGAAGCTCTAGGGAAAGAGTCTTTCTTGTTTCTCTCAGCTCCTGGTAGCCCCAGGCATTCCTTGGCTTGTAGATGCATCTTCACATGGCCATCCTACTTCTGTCTGTTTCTCTGTGTCACTCTCCTCTTTTATAAAGATATCACTCAGATTGGATTTGAATCTACCCTACCCCAGTATGACCCAATATAAAGATAACATCTTTAAAGACCCTATTTCCAAACAAAGTCATGTTCACAGGTACTAGGGGTTAGGACTTCAACATACATTTTTGGAAGACAAAACTCAATCCATAACAGCAAGTATATATAAACTTCCTTTGAAGAAGCTTGGGTATGAGGGGAGGAGAATGATAGAGCAGTACCTGGATAGGGATGTGGGGCTTTTAGTTTTTAATTGAAGGATACTGGGACGTATTTTAAATTGAGCGGAAAAATCTCATTAGAAAAATATGGGATAACTGATGGTGTAAGGTTTCTGAGGCAGTAAGAGGTGACAGGATCTAAAACACAGTTGAGTTTCTGTTTGGTGACTTCAGTTATTTTTTTCTGTGAAGTAGGAGGCACAGTTATTTGATAAATGTGGGGGTGAGGTGTGTAGGAGGTTTGAGGATGGGGAAGATTTGAAATATAGTTATTGCACAGAGTAGGAGCACAAACTGACTAGAGAAAAGTAGGATGGCTGGGCAGTGTGAAGGACTATTTGAGGTTGGTAATCATGAATTTATAGCAATATTAATTTTTCCTCTTGTGTTATTGTATCCAGAAGTGCTTGACTGCTGTGAGTGCAGATTTGGAGGACATGGGTAGTTGGGTTGGTCCAGAGTTGGGGGTTATCTGGTGAGTGAGGGAAACAAGGAGGACTCTACCAGCTTTCTGAAGAAACTCCTTGCATTCAAGGTTTTGTCTCATTCCTACCCATCCTGTATGTTGTTGTTGTTAGGTGCCGTCGAGTTGGTTCTGACTCATAGCGACCCCATGTACAATAGAACGAAACACTGCCCAGTCCTGCGCCATTCTCACAATCGTTGTTATGCTTAAGCCCGTTGTTGCAGCCACTGTGTCAGTCCATCTCATTGAGGGTCTTCCTCTTTTTCGCTGACCCTCTACTTTACCAAGCATGATGTCCTTCT